TTTTGTCGCCAAGGCTTTGTGACATAAGGTGGGACTTTATGATACATGCTGTGATTGGAGAACGGGGTCTAGCCCGTGGAGGCATATCAAAGCAGGGCTTAGTTGCTCTGGCAACCAGCAATACAGGACCGGTGAATCATCAGTCTGACGCGTTCCTAACTTGCAGTCATGAAAGGCTTTTGAATCTTCAAAGACCTAAATGTTCCATGATGCTCAGGATATGATCCTGCCATATAAGAAAATCTTGTTCAACATAACCAAATACAAAGTGTTTCTATGCTGCATTGCTGAAGTGCACTTGGAGGCCCTTCCAGTGTTCTATGTAGTAAATATTCTCCATCCCTACTTTGCTAGGACTGTGGACATGTTGCAGCTGGGGAGTTTCTGTTCAGGAGGATTTTAAGAAAGGTGGTGTTTTATGCCATTAGAGGAAGCGACATGTTCAAAGGCCCCACCCAGAAATTCAATCTCAAATACGTGACTGAGACAACAGGGAGGTATGACAGATGGGGTCACAGGGGATTGGATAGGGTGACAAAGAGTCTAGAAAATTCCTTCTAAAAGCAAGTCTTAGGACCAGGTAGATGACTAAGCAGCACTTGCCAGTGCTCACGACCTGAGTTCAGTCCCCCAGAACCCATTTAAAAGGTGTGGCAGTGAGCTTCTGATCCCAGCATTCCTGTAATGGTAGGTCAGACTGCTAAAAGCTTGAGAGCCAGTGAGCCTGGAAACGAGAGAGATCCTGTCTCAAAAACAAGGTGGGAAAAGAAACCAATTCTTGAAAGTTGTTCTCTGACCTCTTACCCCCACATACACAAACACACATGAAACACACACAATAATAAATCAAATGGTTTTTAATTTTTATTTAAGGAAAAGCAGGTCTTCCCCCAAACCTTTGCTGGGAAGATGGCAAACAGAGAACCCGGACAGGGAAAACTATGGCAGGATGAAGGCTGCCTCTGCCACTTCAAGGATGCCCACGACGCCTTGCACGCATGCGCACCCCAGAACTGCCGCTGCAGGAACAGGCCAGAGCCCCTCTTCCTTCACAGAGAAAGAAGAGGTCCTTCAGGGAGTCCCTGCATATTCGCACTTGCATTTCTCATTTTTAAACTTTTTTTTTCCACATTTATTTATTGGGGGGAGGGGCTTGCATGCCCTAGTGTAAACATAGAGATCATCGGCCCACTTGCACGTATCAGTTCTCACAGTATGGTTTCCAGGGATCAAACTCAGAATAGCCAGGCCGGGAGTGAGCACTTTTATCCAGCTCCCTGGATTACAGCCACCTGCGTTTTGCTGTAATCTGTTTCCATAGTATAGGGACTATGGAAGCAAACTCGGGAGCGGGGCACTGTCCAGCATCCTCCCAAGCTGCTGGGTTACAATCCTCTCCACCTTTGCGGCTGAGGTCTTTGTACCCACCTTTCACTATGTACCAGCCTGCCTCAGCCTCCCAAGGCTGCTATTGTGGTGTGTGGACACAAAGCACACCGCACAGATTAAGAACCTCTCTTCCGTTATGACCTTCCTCATACTGCCTGTCTTTCCTGTGCCCCATTTACTTAACCGTGAAGTTAGGGTACCACTGCATATTTCCAGGTGTTTTTTTTTTTTTTTTTTTTTTTTTTTGTTAAGGCTCTGTAACTCTATTGTTGAGAAAGGAAGGCAGGAGGCTCGGAAGGTGGCTTGGCTGGTAGAGCAACGGCCTAGCATGCACAAAGCTCTGGGTTCAGTCTCCATAAAGCAGCTATGGTAATCTGTGCCTGTAACCTCAGCAGTTGGGAAGGGGAGACAGGAAAATCAGAAGTTCAAAGCCATCTTGGGCCACACAGTGCGTTTGAGGCTAGCTTCAGGCTACATGAGATCTTGCCTCAAGAAAACAAAAGAAGGAGGAAGGGAGGAAGGGCGAGAGGGAAGGGGGAAGAAAACAAAGAAAAGGAGGAAAAAAGAAAATAAGGAAGAAAAAGCAAATTTCTAATAATAAGTGGGCATTCTCCATCTCTCACGTACGTACCTCGGCATCATTCAGGAGTTCATACACACACCATGGCGGACAGATCAGTCATCCGGGAGCTCACATCGAGAGGGAGGGAGTGGCAGAGAGCGACCCTGGTGAACCACCTGGGAGCGCAGCAGAGGGAGAGCAGGAGATGGTGTCCAGAAGCAAGGGGCTCTGGGCCGGCAGCTCGGCCACTTCCTGGCTGTGCAGCGGAGTGATTGTCGCCTCCCACAGGACTGCAGTGGGATTCAGCCTAAAGGTAACAAGAGACCAGTAGGTACCGCCATGGCTCGGCTACGGCTTGAGGGAAACCCCCACCCAACAAGGTGTGTGTGTTGCTTCCTCAGAGTGACAGTGCTGGGCCGTGAGGCCACTCTTGGACAGCACTATTGTTTTCACAAGCCTGTGGTTAGTTCCTGAGTGAGCTGTTATCTCTCCTGAGCTCATCTCTGGCTTTGCGTCTCACCATCATGAATCCTACCCCCACCCCCACCCTTTTCATGCATAGGCATGACATTAAACCTTTACCAGAGCCTGAAGTGACAGAATTGCCCTGGCTTAAGTTTTTCCGCCTCCAAAGTCATGATCTGAATCTACGCCCACACCTGGCTCTTTCCTCTATAACATATGTAGTCTCGGGGAATGTGTTACAGCAACATAAAAGAGAGGGATCCAAGTACCCGGCAGATGGTGTCTGAAAACACCCTGAGCATTACATTTGCCAGAAGTGATATGCATGGCCTGTTGGGGGAGGGGAGGGGTTGGCAGGCAGCCTCTGTAGAATGCTTAGGTTGGGGAAGAGGGCTTAGGTTAGGCAAGGCCCGCTGAGGGCAGTCTCGAACCGGGTGTTGTGAAACTCTGGTGTTTCGGAATGTTGGTCATGACACCCCTGTGCATCTTAAATTAGATTGTAGATAGGTTCTCAAGAGGTGGCCTCAAGGCTGAGGCTTTACCAGGTGAAAGGAGAATAGAGAAGGAGCCCAGGGTTGGTCCAGGCTGAGTGAAAAGCAGAAAGGAGGGGATACCAGCCATTCAGCCTCCCCCTCAGAGGGCCGAATCCCACAAGCCCAGCTAATGGATTTGGAAGTTGCCTGGGAACAACACAGGCCTACAGGAGTTCCCACCGGAAATGGCTTGGCACATTCTAAACCAGCCACTGAGAAGCAGCTTTGTGGCCATGACTCCTCAGGCCCTGCACGAGGGCCAGGCCTGTGCTGCTCTATTCTAACTCTTCACTAAAGCTCGCTCCTCGCTGGAACTGTCCTCCCGTCCTGTCACTCCGAACACCCTTGAGCCCCGACGCACCAGAGATGTCAAACAAGCATCATTTAAGGAGCCGGTGCTGCTGGCATTACGCAGGGAATCGTCTGCAGCTACTTAACGCAAGTTCCTGGAACATTCTGGTGGGAAGTGGGAATGCAAATGAGGGGCACCCCCCCCCCAACACTCACTGCATCGAGATGGTGGAGGGTTTGCATGAGGTGTGAGGGAGACAGCCTGCTCTGCCTCAGAAGAGCACTTACAGGCTCCTTTCTGCCTTCTGGCACCAGAATATAAAATGAGCAGGCCTAGATCCACTTTAACTTCAGCGTAAAATTGGGTCAAGGGAAACAGAAACTGCAGGGAGAGAACCACCGCTGGGTTGCAAGGGGGCAGGGCCCAGTGAGCAGCTGTCTGCTAAGACTTTTTTTTTCTTTTAATATTTATCTTATTCGTGTGTGTGTGTGTGTGTGTGTGTGTGTTTGTGTGTTTGAATGCTCAAGCTGCTTTGAGCCCAACTCTAGTCCTCCGGAAGAGCAGCAAGCGCTCTTACCCACTGAGCCGTCCCTCCAGCCCCAGAGGGTAGGGGAGGGAAGGCGGAGGCCTAATCAATCCCCTGTTGCCAGTCTCAGAGAGACAATCCTTAAATGATTAACACACCTGCCCCATAAAGTTGAGCAGAAACCTGACCCAGAAGGCTAAGGGTCACAGAGCTCCGAGAGCTCCCAAAATAGTGATTTCCAAAGTCTAGTGAAATCGAGTGCAGACTTGCTTTGAAACGCCCTTGTACGTTTTCCCAGCGAATTGTGACCCCGACAAGGGCTGCAAGGGGAAATGGCTTTGCCCCGGGCATGAAAAAGAAGAGGGTCTTCTTTTTCTGACAGTCTGGAGGTCAGAAAACGTGAGTGGAAGGGGCCGAGGCAGGGGCTGGAGAGATGGGCCAGCCGTTAGGAGCACCTGTTGCTGTCGCAGAGGACGCGGGGTCCCAGCGCCCACTCAGCAGCTCACACACACACGTGACTCGGGTTCCAGGGCAGCTGACGCCCTCTCACCTCTGTGGGCTGCAGGCATGCACGTTAGCCGAAGGACATTAGTTTCATCAGAGAGGTGGGTAAGAAACGGCTGTTCTGGGGCCGGGGGGGAGGCTAAAGCTGGATAGGCTAATTAGCCTGTGCACTGACAGCTTTCAAATCTCCCCACAGCACGGAAACTATAATCAGTCTCTGCAGACACAGCTTCTCTCAAGGAACACACACACACATTTACACAGATACACACTCACACATGTACACACACACACACACACACATACTCCCTTACACCATCACATGTTCTAACACACTCCTCACACATACCTTATGCTCAGCCACACACAATTACCCAGACACACATCATATACATACATGCTCATACACGCTCACATGTACACTTACACACACTCACACATACAGGCAGATGTTTATACTCACAGATACCAGGGTACACACACACACTCAGTACCTCCCCCTCACAGGCCAGCGTTAGGCAGGGGGAAGCTTGGCAAGGGAGGGCTACCAGCCAAGGTGGGCTGTGACTCCCTGGAGATGGGACCCCTCCCCAGCCGTCAGCGGCATCGCTCCGGCCCAGGGAGGGGGTCCAGAGAAACGGACAGTCGCACAGCCGTGAGTGCTTTTGTCAGAAGGACTGAGTCACGGGAGGACTGAGTCACGTGAAGGACAATGAGGTAGACCAGCAGTCGGGGAAGGCAGCGGGGAGGTGGTGGGGGGCTTCTAGAAAGTGCTAGATTCTCCCTTCCAGTGTCACCAACTGGGAGAGAGACTGCGAGTGGGGGCGGGCTGAAGTTGCGGAGTCTTGAGCTGGCGACACGCAGAGGTTCGGGGAGGAGCGAGAGCAGGAAGGAGGAGGCACGAGGGAAGAAAGGAAAGATCGCAAAGAGAGGTGAAGAGGAGAGGAGAGAAGACCTGGGGCTCAGGTTGGGGCGGGGTGGGGGGCGTGCGAGGCGGTGGGGGGCGGCGGTCTGCGGTTGCCCCGGGAGGGGTGCGGGGAAGGGGGGTGCATCTCCGCCTCCGAAGCGCCCACCTGCCCCGCACAGGTGAGCCCACAGAGGGTGGGGTGACGGACGGAGGGAGAGGTGGCCTGGGGCAGTGTCTTTCACTGCCCGCTCTCCTTCCCGGGTCCTGGGGGACTTGTGCAGCCGCGGGGCAGGCCCTTCGGGGGCTGCACCGCTCCGCGGGGGCCGTTCTCCAGCCCTTCCCTGCATGGCTTCTCGCCAAGAACCACCAACTCCTGCGACCCCAGGCTGGGGTGCAGCCGGCCTTCTCGAATGGGCCTAGCCTTGGAACCCAGCTAGCTGATTCTGTGTCAACCTCCCCTCCCCCTCCACAGGCCCGGTCAGGCTGCTGTTGGACCCCTAATCCAGACCTCTCTGTGTGTCTCTCTCTCTTTGTGTCTCTCTTCTCTCTCTTTGTGTCTCTCTCTGTCTCTCTCCCTCTCTCCCCCTCATCTACTTCCCTCCCTCCCTTTCTCCTTCCCTCTTTCTTCCAACCCTCCTCTCTCTGTCTGTCTGTCTGTCTATCTCCGTCTCTGTCTCTCTCTCATATGTATGTGTGTGTGTAGCTGTACCTAGAAGGCAAGGCTTGCTTAAAGGAGGAAACTGGGTCCTACAGGGTCCAGCCCACCAACACTGAGGTGTGTGTTTGCTTGCTTCCTGATTCTTGGGATGGCCATGGGTCTGACTGTGCAAAAAACATAATCTAATTTGGCTGTAGGTGGCAAAGATTTCCTAGAGTCTTATCTTCCTAGAAAATAAGATACCCAAGGCCACTCTGACAACTGCTCCTCTACTGCTCATACACCCACCACTGTGCCCTGTGCCTTCATCCCTCATCCCCATCCTCACCCAGCTCAGGACTGGTAAGCCCAAGTAACAGGTGACAAAGCCAAGGCCCAGACACTTTCTATGCCTTGTTCCAATGCCCAGGACTGGCAGAGACGGTCATAATTGAAACCAGTGTGTTGCAGGGCATTGTTTCAGACACTTTGAACACAGCACTCGGGTGGCAGCAGCAGACAGAGCTCGGTGAGTTTGAGGCCAGACTAGCCTGCATAGGGAGTTAAAGGACAGCCTGAGTGACACAGTGAGACTCTATCTCAAGAGGAGGGGGCGCACAGTCAGGCTGTTATAACCATCTTCAGGTTATAACGCTGCAGAGCATCATGCTCTAACAACACTAGGCACCCAGGAGGCAGTGTACAGGGAGGGCCCCGGGCTTGCCACTGAGTCACTAATGTAGGAAACAAGATTTTACATGAGCTGTCCGTTTAGTAGGAAAGTCAACGGGGCCCAGGAGTAGGAAGGAAAATGAGGCTGTGTTCTACCCGGAGCACGTCCATCGTTGCCAGCCTCAGGCCATTTGATCATGGTTGACGGCTCCTTCAGTAATTCCCTGGGCTGCATCAGCCCTTCCCTCACAGTCATTTCCTTGACCTATGGTCTTTTTGTTTGCTCACCACTGTTCCTTTGGGTTCAATGTTCACATTTTTCCAGTACTTTCTGCAGAGGAATGTGTCCCTTGCTTTAACATTCATCTCCACCATGGCAACTTTCAAATTCATCTCTCCAGCTTACCCCTAAACTGAAATCCAGACTTAGGTCCTCAAATATTTTGATCTTTACTGGCTAATTCCAGAGTCTACACAACCCTCTAACCGCCCATATTTCCAAACCCAAATTTCTTCATCTTCACCCTTGCTGATGAGGTCTCAGTTTCCATCTTTGGTTTTGTTAGTTTGTTTGGTTTTGATTTTTTGAGACAGGGTTTCTCTGTGTAGCTGCGGTGGTCCTGGATTTGCTTTGTAGACCAAGCTGTCCTCGAACTCACTGAGATCCGCTTGCCTCCTGGGTGGTCTTTGGTTTCTTATCTAGTCAATTTAATCACTGTCCTGCTCTCAGACTCCCCCACCCCAGCCCATGTTCTCAAAAGCTCAGGAGCATAGCATCCTTGGGGTTTGCACACCTGCCCAGCAGGACAGACCTTTATTACTCTCCTTCCTTAGCATCCCATTCTTGTTTTGGACCCTGTCCTGGTGAGTAACTGTTGACTTACCAGCCAAGCCCTCTAATCTGTGCTCCTCACACAGTGAATTTATTTTGGCCTTTGTAGCCTCATTCTTGGAATATCATAGTCAACAGTGATTAACTTTTAATAACATTTTGAGACCTTTTAAAGACATGATTTATAGGCAGTAAAACATGTGCAGAGGGTGACATTTCACTCCAGCCTTAAATCAGCCCTGTCACCATGAGTGAGCGTACACCATGTGTTTATGGGGTGTGTATAGGTAGGTGTGTATTGCGGAGTCATTAGAAATTGAATTTCGAGGACTGAAGAGATAGCTCGGTGATTAGGAGCACATACTGCTCTTATAGAGGGCCTAAGTTCAATTCCCAGCACCCACATTAGGTGGCCCTTCAGCTGCGTGTACATAACTCCAGCTCCAAGAAAATTTGACCGCTCTGGCCTCCATTAACACACCATGATACTCACATAATTAAAATGTTTAAATTTTTGGTTTTTTTAAAGAAAGAAATTTATAGAGACGGTAGAACAGCTCAGAGCATAAAGGCGCTTGCGGTCAAGCCTGACAACGTCCCTCTGACTCCTGGTACCCACATGACATGTACATACGTACACAATGCATTCCCTCATTATGCCCCCCCCCCAAAGTTATTGCTTTGAAAATTGAGTTTATAGATGGCTGCGGTTAAAACTAACAACAAAATTAAAGTAGTGACTTTCCTGTTTGTGCCTTTGATATGATGATTGGCATGAAGCCTAGTATATAAATAGTCTGACCTGGTACCGTGAGTCTTTTCTGCTCTCCTTAGTTATCGGGTTGAGGAGGATTCAAAACACTCACCAGGAATCGCAGAAAGGACCACGTCATCATGGCCTCAGTGTCCACTCATGAAAACCAAGAGAAAAGCCCCCACCTGCCACCACTGGGCAAACAGGTATGTTTTAGCTTGAGAGTCTGCCATCTGAAGAAAACTGTCACACAAGACTAACACTAGATCCTGTCCTTTATCAGTCATCTGAGTGTGTGTGTGTGTGTGTGTGTGTGTGTGTGTGTGTGTGTATGTGTGTGTAGGTGTGCATGTGTTCCTGTACACGGAGGCCAGGGATTGTTGTTCAGCATCTTCCTTAGTCAGTCTACATCTTTTCTAAATTGTATTCATTTATTTATTTACTACTTGTTTATTTATCTATCTATTGTGTGTGTTGCCCACACACGTGCCACGGCAAGTGTGGGGAGGTCAGAGGATAGCTTGCAGGAGTCATTTTTCTCCTTTCACCGCATGGGTTCAATGGATTGCTCTTGGGTCATCAAGCTTTGGCCGCCGATGCCTTTGCCTGCCTAGCCAGCACACCAGCATTCCATTTTATGTTTTGAGGCAGGCTTTCTCATGGAACCTGGACTTCACTGATTCAGCCAGACAAGCTGGCCAGTAAGTTACAGGTCCCCCCCCCCCCCCCGCCTCAGCTCCTCTGGTGCTGAAATTACAGACACACGCCACCACAAGCAGATTTTCAAGTGGTTCTGGGGATCCGAATTCTCTCCCTCATGCCTGTGTGGCAGGTTCTTTATTAACGAAGACATCTCCTGCCTTCAGACACTTTTTCTCAGCCCTCCCCTTTATCAGATGGACTCGGGAAAGAAGGAGTGAGGAAGGAAAATGTGTGCGGGCTATCCTGAAAAGCCTGTTACAGTTTTGTTTGTGAAGTCCTCTCTTTACTCTTCCTCATTCAGAATCCAGCTTAACCCACTCACCGTAGCAGTCAGTGACAAGGAGCAGGTATTCTGAGGCAGAGCAAAGCTATGGCTCGTCTCTAACAGAATGGCACAGCCTTATCGTCCCATTTTTGCTTCCCGGGGTTATTATCCTGAGCATATGCTGCTGCGAGCTGCTTTCAGCAGAGCAGGATTCGTAATCACTAATTAGCCATCACAGTGAGAGCACAAATGCCAGCTTGTTAGGAGTGGGTGTTATGGTTCGGGTCCTTGTGGATGAAAAGGAGAGCAAGTGTCTGATGGTTCACCGGTGGTAGCTCCTGTTCTCAGTAGTCCGCTTTTCAAGCTAAACATGGTTTCAGGGAGGAGAGAGCATTTAAGCCACAAAGTACAAGAGAAACAAACAGACAAGTGACGACAGTTCAAAAAGTGTTGCATTTGGACACCTAAGCCACCCCTGTGAAGTAGACAGCCATAAAACATTTACGGCACTGCGGAAAAAGATCTCCCAAGGCCCCACTCAGAGAATGCTTTCTGATCTTGAGTGTTGGACTCACAGAAATTATGATGGTCAGATCTGAATGTGTGTGTGTATTACATCATACGTGTTTGGCGATTTTCTTTATTTCTGCCGTGGCTGCAGACAGGACAAGAAACAAATGCAGATACAGCTTGATTTACAATGGAATTTTGCCTCAGTGAACACACTATAAGCTGAAACTGTTGTCGGTTTAAAATGCGGGTGGGAATCCTGGTTTAGCACTGTGGTCCACTGCAGTCTTGTGGACGCCCGTTGTGATCTTGCAGACAGCTTGAAGCTGAGCCTCGGGGCTGCTGTCCAGCATGACGGGAGAATGCCGTACTGCTTCTTTTCAGCTTAGGGCAAATTCAAACTTCAGTTTAGTAGTTCCCACTGCACGTGTCTGACTCTCAGAACATGTGTCTTAGTTATGGTTTCTGACCAAAAGCAAGCTGGAGGGGGCGAAGGGTATATTCGGCTTACACTTCCACATCACTGTTCATCATCAAAGGAAGTCCAGACAGGAAAACTCAAGCAGGGTAGGAACCTGCACAAGCATTGGGACGAACGCCTACAGAAACATCCAGATGCAGCTCACACCTGTAATCCCAGTGCTAGGGAGACTGAGGTAGGGTCTCTGGGGCTTGCTTGCCAATCAGCCTAGCTTTATCAGTGAGCTCCAGGTTCAATGACAGATGCTGTTTTAGAACACACACTCGCCAAGCCAACAAACAACAATAAAAATAAACATGGGACGAGATACACACCCATTGTCAACCTCTGGCCTCCACATATCTACATGAAAAGAACATGTATACTTACATATATCACACACACAAATATGAACCACTAGGTCAGGGTCATCCGTGTTTACCCTGGAAACAGGGAGGAGTGCTTGCTCTGAGGATCTCAAGGGTAGACAGTAGCAGCTGTTGCCTGTCCCACTGGTGTGCATTGCCACGGCTGGTGATGGCTGTAAGCCTGACCTCTGCCTCCCTCCACTGTGCTGTAAGGAGTGCAGAGAAATGAAAGAGAGGTGACAGTTTGCACTGTTAGAGGAGCACAGGTGCCTCGGGGTCCTTCTAACCTGTCAGTGCATTATTGGGTGTCTGTGCCGAGTGTGAAAATGATGCCTGGACTGTGAGGAAGTACTCAAGAAATGGTGACCAGCATCCACATTAATAGCCTTAAGCAAAGAGTCTTAAAACAAACAAACAAAAAACCAACAACAGTGGCAAAACCCAACAAATCTGTCTCCACCAAGGATGCAACAGTGAGCTGAAGCTTAAGACCCATAGGCCAACGTGCAAGCCAGCGTCGGGATTATGGTGGGCTATAGGCAGCGTGGAGGAGAGCAAGAACCTGGTGCCTGCAGTGGTCAGCCTGGGAGAGCTGTGCTGCACACCCTGGTCTCTGACCTGCCCTGTCTCAGACTATGCAGCACAACCAGCTGGAAAGCAGTGGCAAGTGGCCTCTGGTCTGTGCCGGCAGCTAGCCAGGAACGGGCAACATCCCATTTCCCTCCAGAGGTAACGCGGTGGAGGCTCTCCTCGTGACCTCAGTCTGTTATTGTCTAGCTTTTGTCTCTTAGTTTTACGTTGGGGTAGGATCTCACCATCTCAGTTGGGGCTGGCCTTGAACTTAGGATCTTCCTGTCTCAGCCTTCTGGGAGCTCAGTTAACCCACAGTGTCTTTCTCTACAGAGCCTGTTGTTTTGCCCAAAATCAAAACTTCACATCCACAGAGGAGAGATTGCCAAGATTATCCGGGAGTGTCAAGAAGAAAGTTTCTGGAAGAGAGGTACTCGCACCCTCTGGGTCTTAATTAATAATTTAATTATCAACAATTTAATAATAAATCATTCAAGTTAATAAACTTACTAAATAAGGTCATTAACAATTGATGATTTGATAATTAATGTTGCAGCAATAGGATGCCTCCGTGTCCTATTAGAATAGAATCATGATGGCCAATTAATTTGCAGCAGGAATTCTGTGTAAGTCCCTAAAGAACTTGGGTATTTATGGATGTTTAGAGTCTGAATTCATGCTCTTCTCTTCAGGCAGAGGTTATCAAGCACTTCACCCCACCCAGTAAAAGCAGATGCATGCGTGATTCTTCCCTTCTCAGAGAAAAGAACGCAGGCCAAAAAATATTATATAACATGTCCTACTTCCACAGAATAGACCTTCGTAAATTCCACCAGCATCTCGGCTTAGAAGTGGTGTCTGTCAGGTTCATCTGGACTTCAGCCCCACGCATAGGGAATAGCTCAGAAATGTTTGTTGACTGGGCTGGAGCTGGCAGAGCCCCATCAATACGTCTCCCTACATTATTGTTTCCTGCTGAGTTGCTTCCTCATCCCTGGGTTGCCTTACATAAGACAAGGCTGTGAGCTCACGCTGTACTAAAATCCTTTTCAGTTAAAAAAAAATTCATAATTTGACATTTGAACGTTGCGTGGTGGAACCTAGGCATCGATCCCAGTACTGACCGAGGCCTGGCTGAGACGCCTCGGGATTCTTCTTGATACCATAAACCATCCAACGTCTCTAATCGGCTAGCATGCATCACTATGATTATTGATTGTGTTTCTAGCACCCCGGGGCTTTTCTGATAACCCCTGAGCCAACGGTTTAACTGACCTGGTAGCGTCATACTTCAGTGTGGCCCATTAGCCAGCCATCTGGTTCCTCGCCGTGATGGGAAAACTGGCTGCTGTTGGACTCGTTTCGGTTGCTAGGAAGGGCTCAATGTTTATTGCGGCTCTTTGCTTTTGGAAGAGGCCATCCGACACATTGTGGGAGAGCTAGAAACCCTTTATGTCAGACTCAATTGCCTCTACTAAAAATCTTAACTAAACACTGCATGTCCAGAGCGGTTTTTAGCCTTCAATGTGACTCTTTAGGCTGACATCCAACAGTGGGACGAAGTGGGATGAAAGACAAAAACCAAAACAGGAACAACAGGAAAGTGCCCTAGATTGAAAGCGATTGGACAGTCAACACAATGCATAATCCTTGATCTTCCACGCAGGAAAACCCTGCAGCTATGAAGGACATTCTTGAACATAGATTGTGTTTTAGTGAATATCATTCCTCTTGAGCCTGAGTCCTCAAACAGAGATTTCTTGACTATGCTAGTGCTGTTGTGGTTTGTTCAGGAGGAATTGGCTTATTTTAGAAACTACCTCTTTAAAATATTCAGTTATCAAGAAGGAAGGTGTTTACAAATCTCAAATGTCTCAGAAAAAAAAAATGACAGAGATACAAATCTAAATATAGGGATGTATCCAGAGATAAATCTGTAATTAATGAGTCTAAAAGAAGGCTTCACAGAAGCTCATGCCATTGCTTTTCAAAATTTATGTAGGATTGAAAATATCAAAATATGGCTGGGTGGTGATGATGCATGCCTTTGATCCCAGCACTTGGAAAACAGAGGCAGGAGGATCCCTGAGTTCGAGGATAGCCTAGTATATAGAGCTAGGTCCAGGACAGCCAGGGCTACACAGAGAAATCCTGTCTCAAAAAACTAAAAAAGGGAGAGAGAGAAAAAAAGATAGGAAAAAAGATATAGATAGATAGATAGATAGATAGATAGATAGATAGATAGATAGATAGATATAGGTATAGATATATAGGTATACACACACACACACACACACACACACATATATATATATATGCACATACACAGTAAGAGACCCATGTTGGGTGTAACCACGGATGTCAGAAATCAAGGTGAAGATGGGTTTCAGTTTAGATTAATGCTGTGAGTCAGGCTGAGCTACTGGCATGAATCCCAAGAAAACTCTCCACGTAGTTTTAAAGAAATATTTGTTGAATAGTGACGTCCAGCTAGAACAAAGCTGGATGTAGTGGCACACCCCTTTGATCCCAACACTCCGGAGACAGAGGCTTGGATTCACTCCTTCAGCCCTATGGGCCCTGGGGATCAGGGTCACGGTTGCCATGCTTGGAGATGTGTTTGCACCCCCTGAGCAATCTCGCCTGCCCTGAAGGATCATGTATTAAGATGCTGATATTGAAAAAAAAAAAAGATGCTGATATTGAGGGGCATTTGTTTGTTTGTTTGTTTTACAGCTCTGCCTTTTTCTCTCGTAAGCATGCTCGTCACCCAGGGACTTGTCCACCAAGGTAAGAGTATTTACCAATGGCTTCACTTCAGACAGCTCTTTTTCTGTGGCCTTCCCTGACATTTATTTTATTGGTTGAAGGTGGGGGTTTTGTTTGTTTGTTTGTTTTGTTGTTGTTTGTTTGTTTCGTATTGTTTCATTTTTGCTTCCTGCAGTCTTTTGCCTGTTTTTAGCTGAAGTTTCTGGTGCTGGAAAAGAGCTACTTGTATTGATTACTTGATAAAGAGAAATTTGAGTTGCAGGTGGCAGTAAGGTTGTTGACTGACCTTAAAAGAAATTATCATTGATTTATTTTACATCTGAAGAGGGCCTTTAAATGGGGAAGGAGAGGGAAAGGCATGAACAAAGAGATGGCAGTGTGAGGTTTGGACTCAACGTGACTGACTTCGAAGACCCAGGAAAGGGGCACGAATCTAGCGGTTACAGTTCCCATTGCCATGACAACAAAAGCAGCTAAGGAAGGAGGGGCTTGTTTTGGTTTAAGGTTGATAATGAAAGGGTTGTGGCAGGATCATAAGGCAGCTGGTCACATGTAACTAGAATCAGGAAGCAGCTGGTGGGAAGGAAGTCTGGTCAGGGTGCGTCCTCAGCACCCACCCCCAGAGACTGTTTCCTTCAGTGAGGCCCCACCTCTTGCAGCTTCAACAACCTTCCAGAACATCTAGGGACGACATGTTCAAACACATGAGCCTGTGGGGGTCATATCAGTCAAACCACAACATTGAGCTAAGGAGCGTGGGGGCTGGCGCCTTCAGAAAAGAGAGCAGTCCGTTTAAGGGATTCAGTCACCACCTTGGCTTTGACCTCTGACCTCAAGAACTCTAAGAAAACAAAAGCACATTACGTTAAGCAGATGAGCTTGTGGCCGTTTCCTACAGCAGACAAGGCATGCCAGCAGTGCCTGTCTAAGAAGCACCTATGTCTGCCAGGGTACCTGACCCTGTGTAAGCCCACCTTACCAAATGCTACTGATCGCCATGATTTTTTAAATGTCGGGGGGGGGGGAGTAAGAAAAGATAAATGTCATTGAAAAAAAGTAAAAAAAAAAAAAAAAGTCTACAAACACAAGGGAAAAAACCTGTTTGTTTGTTTTTTTTTCCCTTGAAAATCAGTATGCCACTGATCTTCAAGTATATCAGAATTCTACTTTGGTTGCTATTAGCCTTGTCCATAAAGGTCTTGTATTAAATATGATTTAATTTTTATAACTAGAAGATAGTCTTTTGTAGAAATGAATTCAACAATCGGTACCAAGTTTTTTGTTTTTGTTTTGTTTTTAGTTTCCTACAGAGACTAAAATAAGTCACTTCAGGCACAATAACTCAAGATAACTTAAGATAGAATACACTTATTATCCAGAGGCCAAGGTCAGAATGGGTCTCACTGGATTAAGCTCAAGATATGAAGACACTTGTGTTTTTCCTGGAAGTTCATCTTCTCTCCCTCTCCATCTTCTAGAGACCACCTGCACTCCTCGGCTGTAGCCTCTTCCTGTGTTTCTAAAGTCAGCTCTGCTGGGCCAAGCTTTCCCGCCTCTGATCTCTCTGTTTTCTCTGGGAATCCTGAGAGCCAGGCTCCAGGACCCCCAGGGCCCGAAATCGCAATCACTGTGATTATGTTTAATCAGCCTGGCAACTTAATTCTGTTTTTATGGCTGAATTCCCCTTTCCGAAGTATATTATGCCCAGAGTTTCCAAAGATTATGTTGTGGACATATTTAAGCCCACTATTATGCCTAGTGCCGAGCACAAGCATCTAAAAATTGTGATGGGCTGGGCGTGTAAACATCCCCTAATACCTGCCTTCATTCCCAGCACTCAGGAGCAGAAATGTGTAGATCTATGAGTTCAAGGCCATCTTGGTGTACATACCGAGTTCCAGGACAGCCGAGGCCACATGGAGAGACATTATCTTAAATAAATGGATAGGTAAACAAGGAAGAATTAGATTGTGATGTATCTACTGTGAACCTCTGAGTTGAGCTTTCTCTGTCGAGTTAACTCTTAAAAGTAGACCATGGTGACTATTCTCTTTGAATCTATTCAAATCAGCCTTTAATTGTGGGTTTCATATTGTTTCCCACATGTTAAAACCATTTCTTCAGATTAATAACATGTACATTTTAGAAGTGTTGTATCTTAAGCTGTGATGTTTTTTGCTACAAAATTAAATAAATTATTAAACAAAATAACACATTTCTATATTACTCTTCAGGTTATTTAGCTGCTAATCCAAGATTTGGATCATTGCCTAAAGTTGCACGTAAGTCATAAGAACAGATTTGGGCTGGAGACGTGGCTGGGTGGCCGAAGCACCAAGGCCCAAGGTTCATGTCCCAGGATTGGAACCAATGAAAAAGCAGATTCATTTTGACAAAGCTTATAAGAACTGAGGAGATGAACATGTTGCCTGGACTGACTCTTACAAAGCACTCTCTGTTTTTCACCACTGGCCTACAGCTTCCTGGTTCACCCCAACACTTTCTGAGCTGCAGGGATTTAGGACACTGACTTCTTTAAAGCATGAGCAAAGACTGGCAAGATATATACAGTTCCCCTTCCCACCTCGGCATCCATGACAGATAGGCTCCAGGACACCCAGGTACCCAAACTGCAGGGTCCTAAATCCCTCTTACAAGTGATGCGGCATTTACATCTGAGGATACACACCCCCCTGCCCACTTTAATGAGTCTCCAGTGACCTTTAACACTTGATAAAATATCAAACACCACATGTGTGGACATTTTAGGACTTATGGGGAATGCATGCTTGGGGAATGAGGCATAAAAGGCCCACACGTGTTTGAAACAGACACAGATTTTTTTTCTTGAATACTTGTTTCAGTCTGCTGTTGGTTAAACGTGCAGCTATAAAAACCTGTAAGAACGAAACCAATGGTAATAAGACTGTCAACAGCAGAGCCTTCAGGTGGCAGATTCATTAGGAGGCTGTTGTTTTTGTTCTCTTGGCTTGGTCAGTCTTTTAAAAAAATATTAAAAAGCATGCACATTAAAAAGTGAGTACGTTTTTAAAAACAGAGGTGTTTTAATATGAAATTCATTGCAAATTCTGGGTTTCATCTCCTTGGTACACATAGATGGTTTGTGTTAGAAGAATTATCCAGTTTTTGAGCTGAATCTCATTTCCAGCTAGAGAAGGTTTCCTTTACAGGAGGTCCTTCTCTCTTACGACTTATTTTCCAGAGTCAAGGGGTGGGGAACTGATCCAACATCTCCAAGAGGCTTCACCACTCGGTGACATAGAGGCTACCTGTAGCCAGAGCCCAGACCGACCCTCCTTTCCCTGCCAGGCCACAGCTGAGCCACGCCCTGGATGCCCATTCTGGGACAGCCCCAGTGTGTGACCTGTCCTGGTCCTCCTGATGTCAGCTCAGAGCAGAGACCAGACAGCCTCCAGTGCTCAGACCTGCCCTCAGTAGGGGCTTGTTTTAGTGTAAAAAGGACCAGTGTTGAGAAGCTGTAGGCAACGGTTAAAGGACAGGATTCTGAGCTTCTCAACTGTCTGTGTTTCTCCTTTCCTGCTTTTATAGTGGCTGGTCTGTTGGGATTTGGCCTCGGGAAGGCTTCCTATATAAGAGTGTGCCAGAGTAAATTCCATTTATTTGAAGATCAGCTCCGTGGTGCTGGATTTGGTCCTGAGCATAACAGGTCTGTGGTCTGATGGAGGGGTTGTAATGAAGATAATGATAAGAAGTAAAGTAAGCAGGTGTAGTGGTGCGCACCTTTAGCCCCAGCACTGGAGAGGCTGAGGCAGTGAGCTCTCTGTGTGCGCAAGGCCAGCAGCCTGGTCTACATAGTGAGACCCTGTCTCAAAAGCAAAAACAAGAAGTGAAACATTACTCATTGTCATATTGAGCACATTAACAATTTTATTTCTTAAGAAAAAAAAAACTCTTTAACGAGCACGCTTTGATTTCTCCTATTCAACTTCAATAATTATTTATTATTTAGCCTAATCACTCATTTCAGTTACTCAACTCGCATTCAGTGAGCACCTACATTCTAGGCCTTGGGTAAATCTCTGAGGAATTCCTTTGTGAGCAGGAATTCCTTTTCTGTCATTGCGCAGTTGCTCAACGTTTAACTGGTCTTCCTTGCTGCAGAGCTTCTCTGAGCATTTAATATCTCTCTCTCTCTCTCTCTCTCTCTCTCTCTCACACACACACACACACACACACACACACACACACACACTACATGTCCTGATAACTCTTATTATTTATTCTCAGGGACGTAAGCAGTTGAGCTAGAGTTTATGGCAAGTCCTCTGTTTCTGAGACGTCTGGGTTGAAAGCCCACTCTTCTTAAACTCTAGTCTTCAGGTTTCACGTCTGTGCAAAATGATGACCAGGATAATTCCCCTGGAGTGTTGTGAGGAAGGAAAATGCTTATTCATGGTGCTCAAACAAGTATGGTTTCTGTCATCGTGTCTCGGAACAAGCTGGGGACCCACTCCTCTAAAGACCTCTCCCTTGTCACAGTGGGCTTTTCTTAATTCATTTTAGAGAGCATCTCAAGTAGCCCAGGCTGGCCTCAAACTTGCTCTGTAGCTCAAGGATGACCTTGAACTTTCCTGAGTGTTGACATGCCAGGTATACACTGCCATACCCTGTTGTATGTGGTGCTGGGGATCGAACATAGGGCGTCATGTATGCCAGGAAGCACTGTACGGAGCCGGCCACAGTGTGCACTGCCTGAGGGGGAGGGGCAGCAGCAGAAACAGTATTGGGCCGATGTCAAGATCAAATTGTCTTCCTGGTGGTGTGACTTTACAATGCTGTGGTCCCTGGTCTGGTAGAGGTGAGTGGTCTTTAGCCATCCCCTCTGCCCTGTGAGTTACCCGCAGTCCAGAGCTGCACAGAGACCCTCGGAGAAGACATTGGGGGCTGTTCCCAAGCCCTGACATTTCCCTTTATGGTTTCCAGGCCAGCGGAGAGGCATTAATTAACTCTGTGTTTACGGACAACTCCAGTATTGCTCCATCTTTGCAAAGCTGTGTTTTGGAGTCAACTCACGGAGCAGCTGGCCCAGGATTCTGATATGTGCAGGGAAAATAGAAAAAAGCATTGTCAGCAGAGGAGGCATCGTGTCCGCTTTCTTCCTACTCCATCTTGGAAGATTTTTTTCTTGCTATTAACCCATTGGTTTCTGAAATAGTGATGAAATCTACGTTTTCCTGACAATCTTGAGACATTGTTCTATATGCCGTGTATATAGAAGGAGGAGGTGGTTGAGGTTAAACGCTCTCTGGGACCCCTTTCTGCTTGGTATTCTGTGGCTGTTTCACTTGCCCACTTTTGGCATCAAAAGCCACACTCTGGGCTGGCATTGGTGCATGGTAACCAGTCTGTAAGCCCTGTGTGAAAAGCCATTAACCTCCTACCTTAGAGGCAGTGGTACCCAAGGCCATTTGATTTTCTAGTGAAGTAGAATTACAGCAGGCTCCAATGATGTTGCAGTCCAAAAGAAGGTGATGTGTATTTATTGTTATTTTTTAGACTAGAGTCTCACTAAATTGCCCAGATAGGCCTCTTCTAAGCCCAGTTCCCAACTGTGGGACAATGGGAGTGTGCCTCTACACCTGGAATACTTCATGGTTCGTTTTTTGCTGTGGTAGAAGTCACTCCAGTGAACAAAGAGTCATGATGAGCTTTTGTGTGACTGGGAGTCACACAAAACAAACAAACACAATTGTCTGTTTCAACATAAACATCATTATTGAGTGATATTTGGGTAATTGTAACCCAAGAAACTACTATTATTCTGGTTTGTTTTGTTTTGTTAAGTAAGCTGGTGAACAGCAGAATCAAACATTGCTCTATGCACTGCTTACTATGGTAAGATGAGAGCTTGGGGAACTGGAACTGGAGGATGGCAGACACTGACAGACAGACAGACACACACACAGGAAAAGCTTCCATTGTCAAAGTAAGAGTCACCTCCTGTTTTTGCTTCTCTTTTAGGCACTGTCTGCTTACCTGTGAGGACTGCAAAACCAGGCGTGGCTTAAGTGAGAAAGTGTCACAGCCTCCTGCTTCATAAACCATGTCTGTGGCTCTCAGTGATTTTTAAGCCTCTGAGTTTGTACACATTTAAACTTTCGTGTGCACTTTAAAATAATACACTTCTGTTGAAACAGAAACCTTGTAATTCTCCCTCATTCCTTTGATGTGCTAGCTGTTGAAGGCTCTCGACTGACTCACTGAAGAACACCTTGGGAGCCATCCCACAATGCCCAGACAATGAACTAACACCACCACCACCACCACCACCACCACCACACACACACACACACACACACACACACACACACACACACACGCTTGCTTAGAGCTTCCTGAGAGAACTTGAGTGGTTTCTGGGGAGCCTGCCCTGCAATTCTCTGGTAGAGAACAGGGTGATGTGGAAGTTAGGTGGGAAGTCATGACCCAAAGAAAACTCATTCATATGGAACTAGAAATCCAAGGAAGGTTGTGATTTAATATTAGAAGTCCACCCTAAAGTCTAGGGGCTGAGATCTGCAGCTTCCTGGAAGGACCACTGGAGGCCTGAATTAATTCTAAAAAGTGAGAAGCCTTGGAGCTTTCAGGAGCTCAGAGGCAGCCAATGGCATGAGCTGGTCTCCTTCTCCAGACATGTTAAATGGGAAGTGTGGGCCTTCCTTTCTGGAACCTTTGCTTTACGGCAGGTTGGCTGAACCCCTTGTAAAATCTGCCTTTGCATTTGCAGCATCTCAGGAAAATGCTTCATGTACATATCACCAGTTAAATATGGGGTGTGTGGGGTACGCACATGTGTGTGTGTGTGTGTGTGTGTGCTCAGTACATTTATAAGCCTGAACAGTGGAGGTAAAAAGGGAAATTTTACTAAAGGTTAATGTTTGATGTGAAAATTTTCATTTTAAGCATCAAAAACAGGTGGAAGTTTATTTTTGTGTGAACGTTAAGTAAATGAAATGGACTGATTTGACTGAGCTGATTTTTTTATATGACATATCCTGTTTGACAGCCAATAAAATTTTGTTTCTGAAAAATCAAAAGGCAGAGCCAATATGCTAGCTTTTTCTTCTCTCATTGTGTTGGGAGTTGAGTCCAGAACTTTGTAACTGCTAGACAAGCGTGGGAGGCACACGGGCGCTTGTGCTCACAATTCTGCTCTAGGGAACCTGGAGTGTTCAACACGCAGGGTTGTTCTCTCAAAGGAAGGGATGTTTAACCTGTTGCCTGCCCAGAAAGCTGGGGATGGACGTTGTCAATAGTCTAGTGACCTTTGCACTGTATGGCCAAGACCACACTGGATGCTCACGCGGACCCTTATCATGAGGTTATGTTTTTCAGTCTGTCTGTAGAATCCATCTTTCTGGAAGGTGACACCTGTAGTCCATCTGTTGGACCAATCCGTGGAAGGTGTCCCTTGAGCTTTTACAAAGAACTTTTACAAAGCTCTGTCTTTGCCTTACTTTATTTCTCAAGGAGATTTATGCATGCTTTGTTGGGCATGCAGGACTGAGTTAACTGTCACCAGGAAAGTTTTCATCAAATTGTGCTGTGCTTCAATATGCCTAAAATGAACTACTTGGGGCCAGACTCCTAAAGTTTGAACCAACACTGACTGCTTAGTTGTATTGAACCAGACTTCTCTCTTTCCTCCCACAGATATACTCTGTTGGCTGTGGTGGCTACACACACACACTACAAACAAGTGCTCTACCAATAAAACTATACCCAGTTCCTATTCTGGCTTCTTGAATACAGTTTTGGCTCTGACAAAAAGTGATTAAGGTCACTCAGCTTTTAGAATTTGGAACAGTCACTTCCTCCATGCCAGGAAGATCTCTCTCAGGAGCCAGAGCACTGTTACATTGCTAAGCACAGTCACTCAATGTTACAAATCTGTCTCTGGCTCTTTGGGAAAGATGTATCACCACCACCTAGAAACTTTTTTTTTAACGTTTTCTTAAACGTCTTTATAGGTCTCAGTCGAAATGGGTTTATTGTTTGGGCTGTCTATGTTTCATTAAGCGGATAACTTACTCCTTGAAGTGCTGAACTATGGTGCTCTGTCTTGGTGTGAGAACCGGTCCACAGGGAGAAGAGCACCCAGGGGGTCCTGATCATTCTGCTGTAGGTCCTCAGTAACCAGTAGAAAGCAGGCATCTGGAGCAGAGGTCTGCCATTGTGTCTGGAGCAGGGTCCGGTCTTTTACATTTAACAATTGCACTCTCCATTGAGTTAAAACTGCAGATACATTTCCAAGAAAGCAAACAACCAATGAAACAAAGTGTCCCTAGCCAGCCTCATCCAGAGACTTGCCCTCTGAGAGAAAGTGTGAGAGGTTATTGATCGCTCAGTTCATGGCGTCCTTATCAAGCTCCTAGCCTACATAACAGCATGCTTTGGCCTTGCCCACCCTAAAGGTGCTAAAAACATAGCCTACAGTTGGATAGAGCTCTAACATAAAAGCCTGCTTTATGATAGTGTTATCTCATAGGATTTGTCGAACTCTGTGACAGACTGAGAAACAAGATATTATATTGGTTACCCTTACATTCTTACCCTTATCATAGAAAATAGTTCGAGTCACCATAGCTTAGAGACCATGTGCATATGAAAGATAATTAACAGAAATTGAAATGCGATGTTAATTTACTTTATCCCTGGAATGTACCTAAGGAAGAAACAAATTTGCTATCTAAATCGACAAGCCTGCCTCACACATTTGAACCCTGTCTAGATAATATAATGAAATGTTCTTAGCAGAGAAAGACACAGAGGGAAGATCCTTGCTGGGCGAGAAACATGAAAATGATTTAATGTGACATATCCTTGGAGGACTCGAGGGATGTCTTCAGAGTGCATCTCTGATCTTCGGGGACCAAGCTCAGAGGCACCCACGTTGGTCCAGCATTTGCATAGCATTGTAGGCTCTAAGAAAACTAGGTTGTCTCAAAGCCCTGGCAATAAGATTGTTTACCTTTGTGTCAGAAAGACAGAAAGCATGAATCCACACGTGGTGTGTGCCAAGGCAGACTTCAAGGAGGTTTGTGCTGGAAAACCTAATGTCCTTATGAGATTTTCCAAAAAGAGGCAATTAGCAGGGCCTACAATTCGTGTGTGTGTGTGTGTGTGTGTGTGTGTGTGTGTGTTGAACACATAGGTGACAGGATCCAGCATGTTTTCCTTACTGAGGAGAAGATCATTGTGAAAATGTCAAAGGCACAAGCACAGAATCAGAACACGAGTAAATACGAAGCTTTTTAAGGAAACTAAGAATAAGTACTTGCTGGGTGCGGTGGCACTCTCCTTAATCCCAGCACCCAGGGAGGCAGAGGCAGGCAGATGTCTGTGAGTTTGAGATCAGCTTGGTCTACAAAGTGAGTCCAGGGAAGCCAAGGCCACACAGAGAAACCCAGTCTCAAAAAACCTAGATAGATAGATAGATAGATAGATAGATAGATAGATAGATAGATAGATAAAGAGACTTGTTCTAGTCAGAGAAAGTATGTTTATTTTTTTGGCTTATACATGAGGAGATGGCTAGAAAGAATATTCAAAATTTTTAAACAAACGTCTACATGGTATACACCTTTAATCCCAGCACTCTGGAGACAGAGTCAGGGTGATCTCTGAGTCTGAGGCCAGCCTGGTCTACATCGTGAGCTCTAGGACAGCCAAAGCTACATAACAGAGATACCTGTCTCCAAAAAAAAAAAAAAAAAAAAAAA